CTATACACTGATTTGTAACTCATTTCAGCTGGTAAGAATACAATTGATTGGGTTATTCTATTGATACTTCTTCCTGGGCTTGGTAATCCATGAACTTCTGCATAATTTCCAGAAAATTCTTTACTACTTCTGCAACATTTTTATCAATCACCATTTTAGTTTTCCATTGAGGCATTCTTTTAATATTGCCATGAATTCTTGGTAGAAGACCATTATTTATCAGGTGATTTCTGATATGTTCAAAATAAGTTCTACCAATCCCTAGCATATTGAAATAAGTTTCTTGACAAAGGAGTGTATTGTGATCCCAGTGATAGAAAGTTTTTTTGTTAGATCTGGTTTTCTTTTTAAGGCATCTACTAGTGCTTATTGATCCACCATCCATGGCTTTAAGTTGGGCCATTAAAAATATGTCTTGTTCAGTCTTAGAAAGAGCTTGAAAAGATTCCCTTAATTCTGCAAATTGTTCTTTGGGAATTCTTGAAGAGCAACCACAATTACATCCTTTTTCTAAAAAATCAATTGTTTTTTGATATTCATTGGAACCATTATACTTATTATTACCTTTCATATACACTTATCCCTATATGCATCTAATTTTATGTTCACTTTGTAGGTTTTTTTTTAATTTTGTTACAAATAACTACTTGATATAAAATTCAAAAACTATTTAGGAATCTATGCAGCCTCTAAGTTATGTATTAAAACAAAAATGATACAATTGATAGATGGAAGATTCTTATTTAGAGCAAACAACAATAGAAATGCTTTATTTAAATCATTTTCATTTATTATCTAGCATTTTTGAATTAACAGAAATAAAAAGATCATTTGATTTTAAATTGTACAAATTTTTATTGTTTTCTGCAAATGTAAAATGTACTCTTTTAATTTGATATATATTTCTTCCCATTAATTTTATATTATTAAATTTTTTAGTCAAATGAATCACTTTTAACTTATTATATTTTAAAATCTTAAAAAAGAAATTTACATAAATTATCAGATCTGCTTAGATGAATATAACATAATAAATAAAGAAAGAAAAATTGTCAAATGATATGAATATCTAAAATTAGTTCTATTAAAATTTTTACATGGTTAATTCATCCATTCTGAGAGACACTGTCGCTTTTTTGAGGGTTCATCATATGTTATATTGTGATAAATATAATCAATTAAATGTTTATCATGTTCTTTTTTGATGAACTTATGCCAACCAACATCTGGATGCCAGTTAATAGTAGGATTTAAACTTTCAGGATATTTTGCCCTCCCCTCCCTTCCAAGTCAATTTTAATATCAACTTCTCCATTTTCATATTTAGCCATGATGTTCTCATCACAAAGATCTCCATGTACATAATCAGAGTCATGAAGTAATTTTACAGCATTTCTAACAGCATTTTCTGTTTGAGGAAATATTCTTGAATCAAGAGCATATAGTGTTTTATATTCTTCCAGATATTCCATGATAACAATCTTCCAGCCTAGTTGAAGGTTATTAACTGCCCATAATTTGGGTGCTAAACCTAGTTCAAAACATTTTCCATGTGCTTCTTCAGAATATTCTTGGGTGAATTTGACCAAACCCTTAGCTTGTTTGTCTCCAAATTGGATTTCTACCATCCATAAATTTCGATTTATAGAATATCTTTCTTTGTATTTGATGATAACTGTTCCTTCTTCTAAATTAACCTTATTGATGCATGGAAATAAATGATCACGATTGGCAATAGTTTCAAAAGGATTCATGTTTGACTCATAAACAGAATTATAATATTCTTTCAAAATATATAAACACTTTTTTAAAGCCAGAAATATTTGTGCGACATCATCTGCTTTAGTATGATTATAAGTAATTGTATCCAGTGGGAAAATGTCTGTAAGATGGTCACACACAATGAAAGGAACAGAAACAGCTCCAGATATCGATACATTAGGTCCTGTATTTTTAAAATTAAAGTTAGTATATATCTGAACTAATGGTAATAAAATAAAAAGGATATACAAACCTTCTAAATTAATAAGAAAAGCAGGCAGACAGGTCATATAATAAAACACAGATTCTTGCTTCCGAGATTTGATTACAAATTCCTTATAATAAGCATCATTTTGAATATAACAACTGCCATTCATACCAGGCTCAGGTTTGACTTCTATATTTGCCAAAAGAACTCTATCTTTACCAATTTTTGGATAGATACTTCCATCTGTTATTCGTTGACCAATTTGTGAACTTGAATAAGCTATGTTTGATTCTTCTTTCCGAATATCCATTTCATTATCAAAAAATAATTCAAGCCAGTTCCTAAAAGCATTTGCCCTTTCATCTTCATCTGAAAATACTCAGGACATCACAGATGCCAGTTCAAGTACAAGTTCATGTTCCCTCTTTGATACTTGACAATCCTTTCTAAGTTTGATAAATTCTTCAAATATCTGATGGTAAAATTGAACCGGAATATCTGATGCATTTGCTGGTCGATGATTACGGAATCGAAGTCCATCCTTCTGCTTACTATCTTTAGTCCATTCATTTGCCCACTTGGAAGGACTTGACATGTTTTTATCCATCATTTTAAGATATTCCTCTGATAAATCTAATTCTGATAAAAATAACTTGATTAAGTTAAATCTCAACAAATTGGCAGTAAATCAACTTATCAACTTACCAATTTTTTTGTGCTCAACTGTATTCAAAAAAAAAAAAAAAAAAGCCCGGATAATATTTTCAATAAAGAGAATGAAAATATGATATGAGTTATGAAGAAAAAAGAATAAAGAAAAGCATAAGTTAGTCATAAATGGTAAATAAATAAATAAACGAAATGGAATGAATGGAAAATAATTTTTTTTATATTGGTGATTCGCCTATAAATCAGTGAATGATTGACATTTTTTATAATAACTAGAATACTTATCAGCCTTCAATGTATAACCCAACATTTACATTGGAGATCTTTACCTGTATCTTTCTCTAATTTTTTTAATTTTTTTTTTAACGTTCTTACTTCTAATTTTAATTTTTCAGCCTCCATTTTCCAACTCTAAAGAGGATGATTGTTTGTGCAGAGAATAATTATATATAAAAATTATTTTATGTTGAATTAATGTTTACAATATTGAATACTAAAATAATATTCATACAGGGCCGATTTGTTTGATCTGCAGATCAAAATGTTTAAATATCACGCGTGGTCGTTACACAGTTATTTTTATGAAAAAATAAACGTTGTTGAGCAAGGTTCAATTCAAC